CAAACGAAAAAGTTGAGAAAAACTCATATTATATATATATATATATATATATATATATATATCAGATATTATATATATATATATGTTTTCAAAATCAATTAATTCATTTAACATTTTCTTAATAATTAGAATGAATAAAAATATATGTTTCAAAAAAAAAAAAAAAATCAACTATAATTAAGGGAATATAATACTGACATAAACTGTTAAACTGTTTTTATTTCAGTCTCCAACAGCCTTGTCTCAACCAAAGCTAGCATTCAGTTGATACTGAACACTGCTAAGTCCGTCTACTGCCAAATGGGGCTACAAATCACCTACAAATGCATACTTCATTCTTAATTAAGGCACAATTATATTCACAAGCTTGAAGTGAAAAAAATTCCGTTTCATTCTAATTTCTGCTTTAACCCCCTTTGAACTCTAGATCAAAGTGCGCTGAAAGCGAGCAGCGGAAAAATTCTGAATTCCAAAAACTAAAAATTTTCAATGCATGAGTGCACATTCCAATCTATTTACAAGTACTGCTGTTTCCACGAACAACACAGCGCATACACCAACACACACACACGCAGGCAGGCAGCGGAGGCAGCCTTACCGGTGAGGCGTGAAGAGCACACTCAAAAAGCGATTTCGATTCATTTGCCGAAGAAAACTCGTAGGCTGTTTGGCAGACAAGACAGACGAGCGTTTAGGCGGCGCGGCGGTTGTAATGCATGTGTATGCATTTGAGTGACTTTGTGTGTGTTGGTTGTGGAATGTCTACAAACTTCTATGGGGTTACAAATTTTCAAACTAATATGTACATATATTCATATAAAATTGTATTTTCTGATGTACATATGTTATAGTTATTTGAAGTCATATATCGGCTTGAAACAGTATGTGCTTTGTGATTGCATACAGGCGCATTAGTCACGCGTTTATGTGTATATGTGTGTGTGTGTGTGTAGCGACTGCGAACAGCGTGTTGGAAAATTTGAAATAAATGAAAATGAAATGAAGCTAAAACGTAAACGAAAACGAAAACAGAAATAATAAATAAATGGAAAAAGGAAAATGTAACAACAACAAAAAGCCGACAACTCGCCGATGAAAAAGAAGAGAATTAAGCAAAACATTCCAATGCGATGATTAAGAGTCCAAGTATAGTTGAACTCGAATGTGGATACGTGTGGAGGTATTTGCACCAACAACAAGTACAAGCAATTTGAAACAGTTGTTGCAGGCAATGAGCACACGCGTGTGGCGGCCACTACGCGCACACACAGACCAATGTGAGCAAACAAGTGGAGAAAAATTCGCAAGAAAATCGCGAAAACTGAAAATTGAAAAAAAAGTGTGCGCATGTATGTAATTAGCAACAACTACTACTATACACACACGCAGCAGTTGCAAATGTGCTGAGTAAACGCTTAGCAACGCAGCAGTGCCTTTGAGAGTAAAACGTTTTTATATCATATTTTTGGAATTTTGTCTAAATACAACTAACTGTGCCGCCTCGAACGCCGTTGGGGCGCACGAAATGCTTGCCACACTCACACAGCTGTACACATTTTGCAAGAAGCGCGCATACGCAACAAATTTGGACATAAATAAGTTTATATATAACCACATATGTATGTACATATGTTTGTATGTATGCATGCGTATATACGCAAGTTAATTATAAACAATTGCGAATATTTATGCTATGTGTTGTTACTTTTAAATCGTGTGCACGCACTGGCTAAAGCGATTTTCTCCGCTGCCAGCATGTGAATATGAAACTAGACTATACATATGATGTATGCTGTTGTTAAGTTGCATGTGTGCGTGCGTGTGTATTATGTAAATTGTGCTTGCGCTCGAGTTGCTTCCGATTTTCATAAAATAAAAAAACAACTTTTTGATACTTTGTACATAACACTTCTGTGTTGAAAGTGCGCACACTTGCGAAATAATTTTTTCCATTTATGTGTAGCTGCAAAATGAAAAGACGCACACTTTTTACATGCATATTTGCTGGCACTAAATATGTACATATGTATGTATAGCCTCATTGTAGAAATTGGAATTGCCTCATATGCATATGCAACGTGTGTGAGTTGCTTCAACAGTTTCATAAATATTTATTTTTACATATTTTCACACGCTCATGCGAAGGAAAATTTTTTATTTCGCAATTTTTTTACACCAAATCTACAAACAAGTGTAAATTAAAGGTACTGCAGGCACTGGAAGTTGACAGTTTGACATACTTTTGCTGCAGGACGTGCTACAGTCGAGTACAAGTCATAGATTAAATGCGTAACAGCGCAGCTGTGAAGTGAAAATACAACTAGCTCAATAGCTAAAAAAAAAGCGGTTCATACCGTTTTGAAAAACACCAATTATAGATTGTCTCGCTCGTTTCACACTCAGTCCCCTTTCTACAAGAAACGCTGTAGCGACCGTAATAATTTAAATTTCCGATTTCAAAATAGGAGAAAATACTAACCGATAATGCAACAAAAATTATTTTTCGAAAATTTCACACTGAGACGATGAACTAATAAGTAAAAGTTTGAAAAAATATAGTACACAAATAAAAAGTTTCCATACAAAAACTTGATTGGGATCGGTTAGTTTGTTTGGCAGCTATAGGTTATAGTGATCCAATCTGAATACTCTTTTTAGAAAATGTATCTTTGTTTCATGCAAAAATTCATGTGAAAATTCGTTAACATATCTATATATTTTTTATGTGATCTCCGATGTTTCCTTTTAGGTGTGTACAAGCTTCGTTATCCAATTTAGTATACCCTGTGCAGTTTATCAATTCATACATCTTTATCACAATTACTTTATATAAATTATAACTTTCATTGAGCAAATTCGATAGATATCATAGTAAACACATAATTTATGAATAGCTAAAAATCATAAGCTTGATGAGAATTGCATGAACTGAAGTATACATTTTCAGTATGACAAAAAATCTCCGCAAGAAATTTAGCTTATTAAGTATTAGTTATAAAAAATCTATATTTTCGCACATATATTGGATTTACATATATTTGGGAATATTATCCGAGAATTTGAAGTGGATCCGGCCTGCAGTTTCGAAAATCTACGCGTCATGGTTAGCGAACTGCAGTCCTCGAAACACTTTTCATAAGCACTTTTTGGATTGGCCTTCCGCTCCTACAATGAATGAACAAGAAAAAGTCTTAAGAAGTCTAATCTGGTAAATATAGTGGTTTACCGATGGTATTCCTTGCGTTTTTGGCTTTAAATACGATCAAAATGGTACTCAGTTTGGAAAAAATTTGCGGACGCAAAAACGCATTTCACACTCAAAATATCCACCAAAATCTTTCGAACGGACTAGCGAGAGACTTGCCTGCTCATTTTCAAGCTTTTAATACTTTTTCAACATTTTCTTCAGTTGAAGAGATCGAAGGTCTTCCAGAACTAGCCATGTCTTCAACGATCTCTCAACCGTCTTTGAAGGCTTTGTACCACTCGTAGGTTGAGTTTTTGATAAAACTGAATCACAGTAAGCCTTTTCCAATATTCGTAACGATACCGAACAAGACATTTGAGTAGAAATACAAAATTTTAGATAAATGGTTTGTTCGATATTCCGATTTAAGCAGCAGCTGTAAACAAACTGTTTGGTTTAATACAGAGTTTTTACGTAATTAAAATTTATTACGTCATGTAAATCATTATTAAATAACATCTTACTATTTGGTTGCCTCAAAATCTTTATAATATTGAATATCAGGGCATAATAGACCAAAGTAGCGATTCAGTCCTCATCTTTTAATATTGAATATAAAGAAAGATTAGGTTTTAAACCACTTAATATCGAAGTTTCGAACCATTTGCTGCCATAATTTCAGTCTTACTGCGTCAAGGTTAGTGTACTATTATACAGCCTAGTATTAAAGCATCTTGCTGAGACTTTTAATTTTTTTTAACTATGAACTGTCTAGAAAAGGAGTATTTATATACCTCCAAGATTATTTATAAAGTGTTTGTGTTTTGGAAAGTACTGTATCGAACAAACAACTCACATATACCATGGATTCAAACGCAAACGAAACAAATCTAAGTTATAGCACTTTAATGCCAGGTACATTCACAAGAAATGTTTTAGAAGAGAGTAGATTTCAAACAGAGCAGAAAGGTATAGCACCGAAGATGATTATAACTTCTGACTTCAACGCTTTGCTATGCTGACATAATGAGTGCAAAAATTTGCGGTTTTGTTACGAATCAAATGCGAGTTCTCTAAAAATAATATTAAGCGCATCAATGACAAAACCTTTCGAAAGCTCTTCCACGAAAGCTCTGCAGTTCAATTTTCGAGAACTGGGTCATTAACTGCTTAAAGTCAAATGGTTTATAAACGAAAGTGAAAGCTCACGTCAGAAGCGTTCAGTGCAAAAATAAGATTACTGGGAACACGTTACTTCAATAAAATATAACCCAGTTCTGTAAGCTGAGTAATAATTTTTCAGGATCGCATGCTTTTCCTCTTAAAACCATATTAAGAATGATGGAACGATTGTCGCAAAACTTTGCAAAGCTAATGACAGAGATGAGATTACAAGGCTTTGGATAGACAAGACTTTTCGAATGTTGTAAATAAGGCGAACTATTCAATGATTTCTTGAGAAACCGTAAATATGCTAAAAATATTCTGTCATAAAATTGTTGCAAAAAACACAATCGATTTATAATAAATAAATGTATGTGTATATAGTAAAATATATATGTCTGTATATAATTAGTTTCGCAAAATAGCAAATAAACTCGATTAACCTATATATATACAAACATATGTCTATGTATAGGTTATGTATTTGGTGATGTCTAGCTGATGGAGCAAGTGATTTTATGCAATTAAACATATATAGTACAACTATACTTCTATGCATACATATACATATAAGCATGTATGTATACATATATTCACACATATGTTTGTATATGTATGTTCACTTTTTGGTGTCAATTTGGCTACATACCGATCGCGCGGATCCAGCCACGTTGTCTTCTTCGTATTATGATCGATGTAGTAGGTTTTCCCATCGAAATCGGTGGCGATGTCCCAACCATCTGGCAGCGGATACTCGCCATGATGTGACGTTGTGTGATTGTGCTGCTGCTGATGGTGAATGTGCTGTTGCTGTTGGTGTTGCTGTTGTTGTTGTTGGAGATGGTGGTGGTGGTGGTATTGTGGCTGTTGTTTTGGCATAATTCCAATTTGAAATTCCTGCACGTTGTCGACGAGAAATTTTTTATGATTGCCAAGAAAAACGGTGGCACCGGCTGCTGAAGCGTATCTGCGCGCCTCCACCACTAAGCTGTGGTTTTTGGCGTATGCAACTGGGCGCGAGGCGTCACTTAAACTATGAACGTGGTAATGTATATGCAGCAGTAACAACAATTTATATGTAAACGTTCCGCTAAAATTCATAAATGCCTGCAACAACAATAACAAGAAAGCGACGCGCTTAAAACTTTGTTGCTATTTCGTGTTGTTGTTTGCGTTTGCTTGAAAGCGGCTATTTTTGTTGCAAATGCTGTCGGAAAATTGTCACTAAGCGCGTTACCGTGTTACCACTGCGCTTGTTGTTGCTATTGCTGACACTAGTAGCGAATACGTCTGTCAAATGCAGGCGATTTACGACAGCGCCGTAGACTACCACAACAGCAATGCGCGCGCTGACGTTGATGGCAACGACTATGCTGATGACGTTGTGAATGCGTTTATCGGTGTTGTTGTTGTTTTTGTTATTTGTGCTAGCATTTGGCTTGGCGCTGACGACAACATATTCGCCGCGCTAATAATTTCGCTGTGGCTTGTCTTTTTGCTTGCACCGGCTGTTATCTATTTTATCGGTTGCTGGCTGCGGCAGACGGTCGCTGGCGCATAACTACTGGCTGCAAGTTGTATTTACGTGCAGATGTAGGGCAGCGCTAGAGACGCGGCACATACAATCCGGTGAAATGTACAGTATTTATGTGAGCGCGCGTGTGTTTGCTGTTGCTTTTGGGGCGTTGCTGTTGCGCTACTACAATTTGCAATCGTGAGCGCTAATCAGCGTGCTGTGCGGAGCGGTATGCTATTTGATGAATGGGCAATTAAGTTGTGGGGCGGCAACAGCGCGCTATATATTTTTTATGTGGTATATCACTATTTTTTCACAAACTTTCAATTAATTTTCACGATTTTCGCTTGCTCGCTTGCACTGTTTTCACTTTATAATGGCTGGCTGGCTGGCGTACTTTACTTCCAATTATTTAGAATTCAGCACAGTTGTTTTCAAACTTATTGAAAAAAAAAATTTTTTTTTTCTTAGCGATTTTTACACTCAATTCACTTGTGATTTACGACATTGCGTTATTATAACAAATTATATATGTATAATTCGTTCGCTCAAGACACGCGCGTATCGCTAGATGCCATGTACACTTGTATATAATATATAAATATGTATATGTATGTATGGTAGCTATGCAAATTGCAAATGTAACACACCATCCATTAGATACACAGCGCTACATAATCAAAACAAAATGCACACATGTAAATATGTACGGCAACACACTAGATAAATATATTAATTTATTTAAGTACGTGAGACGCGCACAAAAATTCCTCGCCTAGTACACAACGCGCTCGCCACAAACGATACTAATCAGAGTAAAGGCGCGTACGGGTTACTTGCTATAGTTCGTGCGTGTGTATATACAAGCAGTTCGATCGCGTTGCGGGCGTTAGCGCGCTAGCTAGCTATAGCTGACTGGCTGCTAGATAGCTGTACGTATGTAACTTGGCCACGATGACTGCTCGGCGTTGACTGCTCGTAGTTGTTTGGTGCCAATAGAGCAGACGTGCATGTGCGGCTGTGTGTGTGTGTGTGTGCGTGTGTGTGGTAGGCGCGGGTGGTTGGGGCGTTGTTTTGGTGGCGCGCTCTGCGCGTTGCTACACCGCGGTGCTCAATATGAAACGTGCTCACACACTAACGCAGTCGGTTAGTTAGTTATTGGTCGCGCTCCACGTTGATCGCGTCGATTTCGCGTCACTTTGCCGCACTATTAACGCGCGCTGCTACAACAAGCGTTGAGCGTCTCTCACTCTCTCATACATATAAACACACAAACGTAGGCATGCATGGACACCATATTTTCGTGCTTCCCCACTGCGCGCGCGTGTGCTTAGTGTTGCTGCTTATTATACGACGTTGCTCGCTGTTCACTGTTGGATCGTTTCAAAATTGAATTCGTGCGCTGCTCCAACTTGTCGGCGTCTCGTTTACGCGCACGGCCCCAGGCGTTGGCAGCTAGCGCTATCTCTGTTGCTGCATTCCATTCCATAAAAAATTAATTATTTATTATTTTTTCATTTCGAAAATTTGTATGTGTGAGTGTGTGTGTGTAGGTGTGTATGCAGTCAATTGTGCGCTGGTCCGTACGTTTGCTCGCGCTGCTATATATTTATTGGAGGGCAAATTCCTGTTGCTCTGGTATTTTTCTTTAAAAGTTGTGTATAATTTTTGCTGTGCGTTTTATACAAATGATTACAATTTTATTTATTTTTATTTTTTTTTTTTTAATCTTCCAATTTCGATTTACTCTTGACTTGTATACACTTTTGCGTGGTTTTTGTGAAACGACTTTTTTTACTCAATATTTATTTCATATTCACTGTTTCGGTACTGCTTTTAGTTATAAATGTTTGCCATTTTATTCTGTACACAACTTTGTTGTCTCTGCTTTTTATTTTTCTGTAGTTCACTGGTTTTTTAAATTTCTAAACTAAACTGCATTTATGTTGTTTGTTTCACTTTCTTCTCATATCTATAACTCCCTTCGTATTGTTGTATCTTACAGATATCTATTTTTTTGTTGTATCTCAGGTCCGCGAGCACTTTCCGCAACGAAGCGAAAAAACTAGTCGTTTATGTTACGAGCTACGAACACGGTATGATCGCATTGATCGTGCCCATTTGCTTTGGAGGCAACGAATTCCGTTGCGTTTAGCTGGAGCAGGCCGCTTTGAGTGTGTTAGTGAGTATTTGCACTTGCGGTAGTTATGAGTGAGCGCTCAAGTAATCAAAATAAAATTTGGCGTTGCCACATTGGTTACAAACTGTATTAAAGTTATGATAGGGTCATGTGTGAGTTTGTTAATTGATGATTTTAAAGTCAAAAATTTTCAAAATTTAGAAAAGATCAGTACTTGTTAGACTGAGATATTATTTTCTTTGGATGTTACCAAAATATCTCATGTTGGCCTGTACCTCCAAATATATAATCCAAGGTTTTTGAGACAGTAAAAATTACCTCAGTAAAAGTTTTCTTAACAAAAATTCTAGATTACTTTTAGGAAGCTGCTTTTATTTTTTTCTAGATCTCTAGAAATTGTCCTAAATTTCAAGTTGATCCGAGTAATATAACAGTTTCGGAGTTACAGCCTTTAGAACTTGTGCGAGGCTTGATTTTATTGTCACTCAAATCTTTAAATGCGTTTTTCGAAACTGTGCTTTGGAAGTCGCTTGGTATGACTTTTCCAGAAATACTCAATGGATCTTCATGAAATTTAACACAGGTCTTTGAGATACAATTCTTAAACACTTGGACGAAGGATATATTTTCGATTGAAACTGTTTCTAAAAAAACAATCCGAAATTTTCACTGAAATTTGTTTTTTTGTCAATGTCTGCAAAATTACAATTTTTAGTTTATTTTTTCCTTCGTCCAAGTTCGAAGCTAAGGCTTTAACAAAAACTTATATTTTTTACACTTTAGATGATCCTGTAATGAGTTATCCTGAAAACGGAAATGGTATCGCGATGGCTGAGTTTGGCATAGATTATCCCAAAAATTTCAGATTTCCTTTGTTAAAACAGCGTATATTTCTAACAACAAAAAAACAAAATATTTCACTTTTTATATGAGATAAAAAAGGTTGTTTTTACTCGAGGAAACCCCTGTTACCCTTTAATAGAATATTCGTTCACTTCGAAATTTTTTTTTAACTCTACAAATCAGTCTTTCGTTGGTTGACTAGTTACTTCGGATTTAATTTGAATGAAACGAAAGAATAGTCGATTTCTTTGTATTTCTAGTTTTAACAGCACCATCGAATTTGATCCGAATTGGTCCACACAAACCCAATCGATTTACATATTTTTTCCTCCTTTGGCAACTATTAATTTATAAGGCCAAAAATTTGTCTGTCAATTTTTGGCATAGATAAAAAAATAAAATAGAATTTGCATTTGAATTTTATGTTCTGATGTTGCAGAAGGGTTTTCTGGAACATCTTAGTAAATGTTTTCATTATGAAACAGATTATCAATACTAAACTAAAAGAGCAAAAATTACATCGAGTAGAAGACGCGGAAGAAATGCTTGACTTCATAGGTGAGGACTATATATTCATCAAATATATCGTGGGTTTATTAATATGTCATCGAAGCTATACAATAATAAAGCGAATAGCGCTACAAAGTAAACCGAAAGCGGAAAAACCGTAATCTGCTGAAGGTACTGAAGGCCAACCCAGAAAATGTTTCTTTCAAGTGTATGGGAAATTGGATTAAGAGTTGTCATACTTGTGTTGACTCTGAAGCCTACGTATAATGAATAATAATAAAACGTAAAAATATATTTTTTCCTTGTAATTCCGGGTCGTGATCAGTTAGTATAAGCAGTAGATTAAGTTCACCATTTTCTTGACAATTGAAAAAAGTGACCGTCTAAACCTGAACAGGCTGATAATTTGACTATATTCCTTTTCTGAATACATACACGATTTTGAGAGTGTCTACAAGCGTACAAACATTATTTTCCTCTCTTAATTGGTGGACAATTGACAATACCAGGTAATATAAAATTCTTCTTATCTTCACATTGAAAACTTTCAACGCCATAAAGCGTCTATCCATACAAACAACGTGTCTAAATTTCGGTTTATGTGGCAACATTTTCAAATACTCTCTTGACACTCACTTAAAATAATCACTCCAACAAAAATACTCGTATCGTAATTGCATAGTCTAGCACAAGAGCGTACGCTTCTTTTAACCTTTAACTCAAAAGATAAACAAATTATACACATACGAGGACTTGTATTTATGGATGTGTGTAAATTGTTTACTTGAACCCCTTTTCTCACTGAGTTTGCAAATGTTTTTCAATTATTTTAGATATTCAATGCAATTCGGGAGTAAACTTAAGCGACTAAATTGAAATATTATTCTCCCCCACTTGAATAAAGTCTCGTATTCACCTCTTTTATTTAGCTTTTTTGTAGAAAAATAAAGGGCAGCGAATGCAATATTTAAATTAGCCCATTTCAGTCACTGAATAACGATAATACAATCAATTCATTTACTCATTTCAGCATTCCAATCTTGTTGCACATTGACGCCACGTGGTGGCGCTGCTGCAGAAAGAGCGCCGAATAGTGCTGAGTATAGCGTATAAGCGTATAATAGTCGAGAAAATGAGAGAGCCGTGTTGCTATTTGTAAAAAACAAAAGCAATCTATGAGATACTTTTTATTGGCCTGACCGGGAGTATCTCTGTACATAGGTGTACGTATGCAGAATTGTCTGTCCTGTAGGAATCGCTTTGACTGCAATATCCATATCAGCTAAAGTGAAGTAAAGGTAATATATATTATAACAAATAATGAGTATTTGAGTTAGCTACTGGATAGAAAAGCAGGGGTAAACAAGTTTAATTTCGAAACAGGTGAAATATTCTTAAAAACAGTTATGGTTTTAATTTATATACGGCTCTAGTTGAGAGCAATAAAATTATATCCTTTGTCTACTAAATATTGATTATAGTTCATTTGCCGCATAATTTCTATTAGTGGCCTTACAATTGACTTTATTTTTTACATCCACAAAAGGAAATTTTTCATTCCTCTCTGGTTTGCTTGATTAATTTAATCAATGTCAATGTAACACAACCAACAAATTACAATTTTTACAAACCACGCTTGATTTGAAATAGAGATTTTAACTAATCTACTGGATCGATTTGGAAAGCTTTAACTGGTTGGCTTAAACGGATTAAAAGTGATRGAAGCTAATATACTATAAATCTGCCGCTATCGATTCACTATTTTTTTAGTTGGTTATGAACGCTACTCTCTTCTTAAAAAGAAATGCACATATGAATGGTAATAGAGCGATGGTTTCAAAGAAGAGAACATGCGGATATCTCATTAAGGCAATTTTATAGGTTTTAGAGACGGTTAACTATTAGTAATATGGATATGTGGTCAGGAAGGGTGTGAGAAAGCGTCCCCGATTTTTTAAGGATCAAAAACGGTTTATATAAACTGCTGAAAAAACTTTATGGCCTATGGGAAAAACTTATATGGCAATATTGTAGGTAATTAAAAGATCAATATTTTTTGAATTCACACCGTTTTCACACAACCTAAAAATGTATGTAAAAAATTCAAATTTCTAAATTTTTAAGATTTTATTTCTAACCTGTACAAAAGTTATTCTCTGATCTAATTTGTGGTAAATTTACCTTTTTATATCGTAAAGCATTTTTTATAAAAAAAATAAAAAAAAACGGATATGAACCGTTTGTCTGTTTAGTTTTTGTCAGTCTGTTCGATCAGCTGTTTAAAGTGTTCGATTCGCTACTCTCCAGCACATGCTGAATTGAGGACAGCATATTAAGGGGTCGCGGTAGTGTAGAATTTTAAAAAAATCGATTCTTTTGAAAGTTCGAATAAGAACTTCTTTTAAGGATATACTGTAAAATTTTTGGAAGGATATTCACATTATTTTAGCTGCTACAGCTGTTTTAGCAGCTAGCGCAGGTATCAGAAATATAGACACTCTAAACTTTAAACTCATTTATCTCAAAAGTACTTTTTTTTGGCGTGTCCTTGATGAAAAAAAACAACACTATCCATCCGAATCACTTGAAATTAATATGGTGTTTATAAGATCAGTAGCTATGGCTGGGACTACGATCAAATTTTAATTTTAAGAATTTCGATATTTTTCGATCTTAAATTGGTCCAAAAATAGCTGTTTTCAAAATCTGAACTTCAAAAGCACGAAATTTTTTAATTTTAAATTTTTTTGTTATTACAGTCCCAGCGATAACTGCACTCCTACTGATTGATAATTTATTTGGTTTTTATGTTTCAGATGTTCAGACGAGTCAAAATAACAACGGCACCGGGAGTCATATTTTAAGATAGCTTTGTTTGGACGACATTTTTAATATTGTTAAAATTTTTTTTTTTTAATAAAAAAATATTTTTGTACTTTTCATAAGTCTATAAATAAACTGTAAAAATTTTAAATTGATTGCTCCTTTTTAAAACCTTAAAAAAAAATCCGGAAAACCCCCTTACGGGTTCTAGATCACCGGGACCCCTTAAGCTTGCTGCAGTCCAACCGCGGCGCAACACAGAGCAGTCGTTTTCCAGCACGCCACTCTGACTTCAGAGTAACGCCAGAGCGCACCTACATACTCTCACATACTCACACATACATATACGCATAAAATATCTCTGCTCATATAGTACACACACACACACATATATATTTGCGACTCAACTAAAGCGGTAGGTATGTGGTAACAGCGAATGAGTGGCGAATCGCCGCAGATCGCGCATTCACTGCGATCACTTACTAAGCAGCTAAATATGTACATATTTTAAGACTGTCGAAAAGCGTTGCGGGCGTAGGACGCAGGTGTGCGCTGTGCGCCCCGAACAACAGGCGACCGACGACTCCTCTGAGTGACGTTGACTATTGCTGTCGCTACTGTCGTTTGCGCTGTACTATATAGCTGTAATATTTTTGTACGAATTCTTGTTGTTCGCTTAGAGTGTGCAAGAAAGCATACATGTATGTGTATGTGTGTGTGTGTGTTTGTGTGCCCGTGCGGCCACATTCCAATTGCCAACAACAA